CCCCCAGTCCATCCCTGTCTTTTGCCCAGAGGAAGTTCTCTGCTCTGGGTATGTGTGACATGAGTGAAAGCAAAAGGGAATCTGGGATGTAGCTCTTCTCACTCCAGCTCACCTTAACCACAGCCACATCTGTACTCGTCATACCTAAGCTCCATTGTCCTCCCCCAGCACATACCCTGTGAACCTTTCTCCTGCAGAAGGGGTACAAAGAGGGGTTTAAAACCCTTGGTTTAAACTTTTTTTTGGTCTCTTCCTTTAGGAGAAGCCAGAACTTTCCAGGCAAATCATTAATGAGTGGGTGGCTAATAAGACAGAGAAGCGCATTACAGAAGTGATCCCAGAAAATGGTATTGATGATCTCACTGTCTTGGTCCTGGTCAACACCATTTATTTTAAGGTAACAAAAGCTAACAAAAAGCTTTAAAATATTTTAAGCTAACAAAACTGGGGAACAGTACACTTACCTGGAGGAGACATGGTGCTCATGTTTGTTTTCCCCCTCTCCTTTTTAGGGGCACTGGAAATCACAGTTCCCAGCTCCAAATACAAAACTTGATATATTTCATAAAGCCAGTGGTGAGACCTGCCAAGTCCCAACTATGTACCAGGAGTCCAAATTCCACTACACATTCATCGCCCAGGACAAAGTCCAGGTGCTGGAGCTGCCTTACAAAGGGGACGATATCACAATGGTGCTGGTCCTGCCCAGTGCTGGGACACCGTTAGAGAAAGTGGAGCGAGACTTGACATCAGAGAAGCTGCAGGACTGGATAGATTCCATGAAGGAGATGTCTCTCTTTGTCTACCTCCCTCGCTTCCGTGTTGAGGACAGCTTCAGTGTCAAGGAAAAGCTGAGGAAAATGGGGCTGGAAGATCTCTTCAGTCCAGAAAATGCTAGACTCCCAGGTGAGATATGGAGATAGGGCAGTGCAGGGTAGAGGTGAGGGGCAGCAATTCTTCCCTATATGGCAGGGTAGTAGGTGCAACAACACATGAGGAACGAGAACATGAAAGCATTTATATGTTGCTGCAGTCAGTGATGGACTATCTGGTAAAGTCTACCATGGACACTCATTCCTGTTCTGCACTGAGTTTAGCAGTCACTTGCACGTGGAGGAGGATGTTTTTGTTTTAGGGCAGCCATGCCTTCTGCCTGATCCCAGGCCATGAAGGATGGATATATGTTCTTTCTTGAGCTGTTTCTAAACTCACAGTTTTACCTTTGTATATTTTTGTATTTCAGGTATCATTGCAGAGGGCCGCACAGACTTGTATGTGTCTGAGGCTTTCCACAAAGCCTTCCTTGAGGTGAGCCTTGTTTTGTGCCAGTGTGTCTTCCTCTTGCTTTTTAAAAACAAATATTAAAGGGAAGAAAATAGCTCTGAGCCTGCAGTGTTTGCTTCTCAGCAGCTTTGGGCTTTGGAGGGAGTCTGGCCCCTGCATTCTGTGGAGGAGGAAGGTGAGCTCTCTCCATGCTGCATAATGCCTGTATTTTAATCCCATATTCTCTCTTGGTTGGCAGGTGAATGAAGAAGGCAGTGAGGCCTCAGCTGCTACAGCTGTCACCATCTCTGGCCGTTCTTTCCCTATGAACAGAAAAATCTTCAATGCCAACAGGCCCTTCCTGCTTTTCATCCGGGAAGCTACCCTCAACACCATCATCTTCATGGGCAGGATAGCTGATCCTTGCTCCTAAAGGAGCTGGTAGGGCCTCACTTCTCCCTCCTCTGCCTTGGGAAAAGGGGAGGTGGGTTATTGTCACAATGCATGGGCTGCTCCTGGGGTGGTTGGTCTTGCTGTTTGGTGCCACCTGCAGGGAGGGACTGCATCCAACTAGGCTGTCCCTGCTCTTCCCTGCCATGTCAGGTGAGGGGGCTCATAGGTCACCTCACCTGTCCTGTCCTCCATGGCAAGGAAAACTGAATTTCATCTGGCACCAGTATTTTTGTGGCACCCAAGCCCAGCATTGCTGTCCTTCCTGTGCCCAACCCTCTGTAACTCTGATCACTTGGTTCATTAAAACCTATAGATCTGTATGTAACAAACTGCTCTCTGAATGCACAGTTTACATTAAGCCACTTCCTAGATTTAAATTCATCTTTTCCAGTACATGGGGCCCCACACCAGAAAGGTGAGTGGAATAGCAGCAGCCATAAGGCATGCGCTGGCTGGGCTAGGAGCACCCTCCTGCAGCTCTGTGTGGGTGGAAGAGCTGCCAAACAGCTGTGCCCTGCTTGCCAGCTGCTCTGGTATGTCCTGTGTGCCCAAGTGCTAAGAGTCACTAGTGACAGTCTTGCATAGCCAAGGCTTTGAAACTCTTTTTTAATATTAAGATTTCATCTAACAGTTACTATAGCAGCAGTGCCCATGAACCATGACAGTGCTCAGGTAAGGTAACCGGTAGCTGTAGCTTTGATAAAAATTCATTATTTTACCTGCAAGTTTACTCTAGGAGCTGAGGTGTCCTGGCCTGCTGTGAGGCCACATGTGATCAGACCTCTTGGTTTCTCAGGGTGTCTGTACTGCGGTAGCACCTTGGGCAGGGTTGTCCTAAAGGTGCGGAAGATTTCTCCATTTCAGGCAGTTGTTTGAAACCAGACAGTGAAAGCACAGTTCCTGTCCTCAGGAGGTGATGGAAGTGGTGTGTGCAGACAGAGGGTTGCACTCCCCAGTGGCCATGTACTCTGGATTGTGTAGGACCAGCAAAATATCCACCTTTGTAAAGGGTTCTCTTGGCAGGAATTACCAGAGTAACCAAGTAGTGAAGGAATTAACTTGAACAGAGCTGGTATGTCAGATCTTTGGTCACTGGGTCTCTAGTTTTGGAAGGTATCAGTGGTTTGACTCTTTCCTGTTCCTAGCAGGATTGCTTGAGCATCTGTGCAAGTAGTGTGTGATTAGGACATGGAGGGCCACCTCCTCCACTGTCCCACAAGCAAACTGTACGCATCTGAGAGGTGTCCTTAAGGAGCTGACATGCTCCCCTGGAGCAGTACCTTGGAAAGAAGCTGTGAAGGGCTGGGAACCTGGGAGAAAAGGGGAAGCATTTTGAAAATAGAGTTCAGAAAGCAGCTCTTCCTCTCCCTCTCCCTGCCCTCCTCTGGCAGTTACCACTGTGGCATTTCTTGATGGATCCCATCTTCTGCCTGTGAACATCACTGAGAGACACACACAACCTCCTGTAATCTCTGCCTTTTTCAGTTGTGCTCCAGGCTGTGGAGATGGACACTGGTGAAAGAGGAGGGCTGAGGAAATGCCTGGGTCTCCCTAGCATGGCACTGAACCAAAATGCTTCCCCTGCCATAGGCAGCTGGGAAAACATCCAAAACTTGACCTGCAGCAAGAGCACAGGGCTTGTTCCTCCTGGGGAAACTGAAAATGGCTGAGCCTACTGAAGAGGTGAGACAAAACTCATGCAACAAGGACAGAAGCCATTTGAGTTTCCAGGAACAACAGCCTGGCACTGTGCAACCTCTCTTAAGCTGCTCAGCTTAGGACAGTGGGGAGCTGCCCACAGCTGAGATCAGGTGGAAAATCCACATTGGGTCAGTACCAGTCAGCCATAAGACACAGACAAGGACCTGAGTATTAAACCATTTAATTCTCAAACCACTCACATGCATAATGTTCTTTTACACAGTGTTAAAAGAAAGAAGAAAATTCATTTTTTTTAATACAAACAGAATTTCAAGTATACATTTATAAGCATTTTCCAAATTCTTACCCAAGTTGCTAAATTTTCATTCACATTGTTCTTAAAGCTGTCCAATGAGAGCACGTTTTGCTAAACTGCTTTCAATGCAATTGTACAGTCCCCTCTACCTTGGTTTTCTTTCCCCCTTTCCCAATTCTGGTTCCCCTTCTACCCCTGCTCACTCCCCTCCAGCAGTGCTGGCTGTCCCTGGACACAGTGGCCATGGAGCTTCTGTTTGCCAGCACCCACGGAAGAGGAAAAGGGAAGCAGTCATGGAGGACCAGTTTGGAAACAGCTTGCAAAATCACCGAAGAACAGTCTGATATCCACAAGTTACAGAAGGCTTCAGCCTACTCTAGACTAGTCTGAACACTGACTTCTTTTTCTTGAAATAAGGACTGCAATCAAAAATAAAATAATAAAGAATAATTAATACAGCAGGAAATTTCTTAACTGTGAAATTAAGTCTTGAGTATTAGGACACCTGTCCTAAAAAGGTTTGGTTTACAGGTCACTAGTTGAAGGTGACAGCAAAATTTCTGTTACAAATGGTTACTCTGCAAACCAGCTCACAGCAGAATCAATGTGGGACACACAAACTTGGATTAAAAAAGAAAAAAAAAAAAACAAACGGAACTGACAAGGTCTCCATATTCATGTTATGGAAAAACCCCACAACCCCAGTAACAGTTTTCTCCTAGCTTTGCTATTCAGCTTAGCTCAGCCCTGGGCCACCAGCTGGGTTGTAACTGGGTGCAACTTCTGACCTGTTAAAAAATGGGGTTTAAATCTTCTTGATAGGCAAGGGTGGGTTTCTCTTGACACATTATGAAGTCCCTTAACAGCCACCAGCCCCATCAGTGCTTGGGCACAGTGGGGCTACTCCAGGTGGTGTGGGGGCCATGCTGGCCTGGGGGGCTGCTGGAGGTAGAGCTGCCATGTCCAAGCATCTGGCAACGTTGCTCCCCCCAAGCTGTGGCTGCCCTGGAGCTGCCTGCCCATACAGCCGTGTCCCAAGCCAGCCACAGCTGTACTCATATGACCAGTTAAAGTGCATTGCGGCAGAAAAGGGTTTGCTTTTTACTTTTTTTTTTTTTTTTTTTTTTTTTTTAAAGAGGAACCTATTTAAAGTGCTGTTCTAGTTTGGAAAGGGACTCTGTTTAGAAAAAACAATGGCACCTTTTCACATGAGAGATTTCCTCTCTGTATGTGTGTGTGTATATATATATATATTTGCAGAGTCAGATCCGCGGACTAATGAACAATATATAAAGTGTTTCTATATTATCTTATTGCTTTTTTATGCTTTTTTTCTTTTTTTTTTTCTTTTTTATGCTTTTTTTTTTACTGTTGCCTGCTGCCTTGGAGGCAGGAGGGAGATGGATACTCCTTTTACCTTCCCCACCATTAACTGATTTCCTAATGCAGGAATGTGGTCTTACAGCTCTAGCCCAGAGGACAGTTCACTGTCAGGCATCACAGAGGAGGTGACAAAGTCCCCCTGAACTGTCAGAGCCCCATGGCCAACCTGCAAAGGGTCACAGTAAGGAACTGGAGGCCAAGGACTGTGTGTACCCCAAAGGACTCCCATTGCCCCTCCCAGATGACATTTTCATTAGAGTCACTTTACAGAGCAGACTTGCATTTCTGAAACACAGAGGTAAGGAAAACAAATCTCTTTAAAGTGAAAGCTTTGTTGCTAGAGTGTGTTGTGTAGTGTGGTAACCTCAGCACTCCAAGAGAGAGAGGTAGTTACTGTCCTGTGAATACATTGCTCCTGAATGCAACTACGTTTCTGGAGTGATTGCTCAAAAGGAAAAAAAAAAAAAAAAAAAGGAAAAATCCCAAAATCCTGTGCTCTTTATTCTCTTTATTAAGTTATCCCAGTTAAATCTTTCTGGTGAAGATATACTTGACTATACCTCTAAGAGGCTTTTGTATTTTAGAAATTGATTGTCAGTTAAGTTTTTTACAAGTTTGTTTGATTAGCAAATTGCTGTACAAAGCCACTTCCTTTGTTAACTCTTAAAACTTTCTCTCCCACTTCTCAACTATCTGTGCCCTGTTGGGGGTCATGTCCTGTCTGCTCCTGCAGTAGGACAACATTTCCTGCTCTGAGAAGTTTTAATGGAAAAACCGAAAGTTTTGAAAAGAGCTACAGATATCATATTCACAGTGTTGTGCAGGAAAGTTGGGGGGACACCAGGGAAACAAGGGGAGCTCTGGGGACAATGGAGTCACAGCTCATGGAAGCTTCAGCTAGTGTTTAACACACTAGAGACTTGGGAAAACTGCATTCATTCCCTTCCCTTTTCAGACTAAAGTAGTGCTTTGATCCAGCCTTGTCATCCATTGCTAATTCTCCCTGCAAGTGTGGGGCATGAAGTGAGGAATATGTTACTGCAAGAACATACAGGTGCATGTTATTTTCCTCCTCATTCAGCTTCTAATAGACCTTATTCAGAAAAGTCTTTTTTGCCACCCAGGATTGCTCTTGCCCATTCTAAATGTCAGCCATATTACCCACCAACACAAAACAACCATGCCTTATTTGAACAACACTCCTCTCTCCCTTCCCAATATTCCTTACTGGCACTTGCTCCATGAAAACACTGCCCTGGAAAAAACTGTCTAGTGTCAGCTTTCTTCCAGTGCCTTAGGGAAGCCCAAGGAATTATCCTTAAGCAAAGGGTATAACAAAATTCTACTCTCAATCCCACTTGGGGTGCTTCCCCCAGTAGCACAACCCTGGCTTAAGAAAACTTCTAACACATGAGAAAAGTGCCTGCATGCCACCTACACCCTCCTTCCCTGCATCTCTGGAGATCCAGGCTGTCCTGTACAGCCTCTGCAAACACACATCGACTGAAAGAACACCCTGGGGCTGGAGACAGCCACGGTGGGGTTGGGGCTTCATGCCTCTTCCCAAAATCCAATCTGTCAGCCCAAGAATTGCACAGTCCACTTGTTAGTGTCACCCACAGCTGCCACCCTCCTCCCACTGGCCTCTTGCAGCCAAGAGTTGTGTTCAGTTACCAATGCACAGGCAAGGAAGGATTCAGGAAAAAGCTTCACAGTAATTCAGAGAGTTTTACATATGTAAACTCTCAGAAATACTCTCAGAGGTACAAACCCCCGTATCATACCAATGCCCAAGACATGTAGATGAACAAGCAGAGCCAGGGAAACCTCAAGAAACAGCTTTTAAAACTTGACCAAATGAGGAACGAATTCATTGCCATCATCAAGTTAATTTGTTTCTTTCAGACTAGTTTTGTGACTCCTCGTCCTGCCCCAGACTCAGTAATTTCTATTGCAATTCTAGCAGAAGACATCCTTGCCCGTGGCAGGGGGGTTGGAATAAGATGAGCTTTAAGGTCTCTTCCAACCCAAACAATTCCACAATTCTGTGATTTGAGTAACTAATTTCAAATGTATTTTATCTTTTTATACTGCCACTTTCTGTTTTTTATGATCAGCAGTAAATTAATCAATCCAACTTCATTTTTCATTTCTCATTAGTTTCACAGTTTCATAACCAATGGTATTGGGTCTGACTGCAAAGGTAATGGGAAGGTTTAAATAAGTAAGCCTTACTGCAGTATAAAAATAATGCAGGCATTTCACCATAGATCTGAGAGGAAGGGTGTTAGGTACATTAACAATAGCTAAGCTGAAAGTCTGCAAAAAAAATAATGCACTGATTTTTTAAGTACTGCCTTAGGTAACTGCAGTAAAATAATAAATCAGAGTATGTCAGATTAAATAAGGAACTTACACAGGAGTATTTGAAAATACCTGAACGTGTTTCAAAAGCTTAACTTATATGAACTAGGAAGGCCAGTAAAGCTTCCCATTTTACGTGATAAAACTAAAAATAAAGGCAACAAAAATACAGCTTGGTGCAGTCTAATGGAAACAGGAACTTGGAGGCTACACTCTCCCATAATAGAGATTTCCCAGCCTCTCTGGACAACCAGATCCAATGCTGTTTGAGTATACTCACAGTGAGATAATGTCTTATCATACCTAACCTCATTTTGCCTTGTATAAACTGCTGCCTAGTGCTGCTTCTTCTTACCACCGTGTGCCTCCAGGAAGGGTCTGGCTCCATCTTCTCTGCACCCTCCCCTGAGCTGTGGAGTTTAAATAGGAAAAATGATATAGGTAAAGGAGAAAGCACTAAAACAAAAACAAACTTCAGTGTTCAACACTTGGAGAAAACGCACAAAATAGCATTTTGAAGTCTGGTACCACCCTTTCCACCCTTTACTTCTCACCCTTCAGTTCCTTCCAATGGAGTTTTTGAAATGCTCACAGCAAAACTGCCCCCACAGGGGACTGGCCCTTTTTTCTCCAGCAAGTAAAACACTGGTGCTGCTCAGCTGTCATGTGCAGGATAGGCATCTTTGGACACCTGTCTCACAAGGCAGCAGCATTTTCTGCATGCTTCTGCCCCGTGCAGGTTCTAAACCCAGCATTTCCCTGCCCACAGCATCCATGTCATGCCAGATACATGCACTACCTCTTCCCAGTGATGCTCTGCTGCTGTTCCACCTTTCTACCCATCCCCCTGTGCAGTTCCAGTGCCACCAGCACCAGCCAGTGCTGAAAACAGGCAAGCTCTCTTATTATTTCAGCTGTCTTCTTTCTCCCTAGAGAAAGAAGAGCCACTGCCAAGCCTGCAGGACATATTAGAGGTGAATTTGTTCTTAGCACTTGCTAATTCCTCAGAAAGGAAATTATTCCCTGACACAAAAAAAAATCAGCAAGATCTTATCTTTAAATCCATTCTTCCCATTGGTGACAGCAGAACATGCGCCTTCACAGAAGTTATTAACAAACCCCCAAACACTTCTAGACATCAGAAAATAGCAATGGCTCATTTCCTAAAACTTTAAATTAGACACTAAATGCATCAGTGGCTGGTTTTGTGGCTTCCTTCCCAGCTCCCACCTGTGCCAGATCACAGTTTGATTTACTGATTTCTACCATTTTATTTCTAGCTTTGCCAGAACGCCCTTGTTTTACAACAAAACTGTTAAGGACCATGAAGAACACCTTCAAAAGGCCCCCACCATCCAACTTTACCCAGAAGTTTCAAATTCTTTCAAGGCTGCAACTCCCCAGTATCACAAGTTCTTAAGTCTTACTTGTATCCATGTTTATGTCACCAAAGACCTTTCAGAATTCCCACATAAAAAAAGCTCCTCCTATTTCCAAGAGGATCATTTCACAAGCTGTAATACTTTGGTTTACAACTGGATTAAAATATAAATTAAATAATAATGCTAAATGAGTTTATATTGAAACACACTATATTTGTTTCTATATGTGTATATACAGGTATGTGTGTGTGCACTCCCTAATGACAGCTAGAGGAAGCAAAAGTCATTCTCCAATGGCTTTCTACTCTTCCAACTAGCATGGTCAGCTTATCCATTGCAACAATTCCCTGTGCATAAAAGCTAATGAAACACTGGAAGGTGGTGCTGGCGACCAGCTGGATCACACAGACATTCAGGAACAGAAAGACAATAAATTATAAGAAGCAGTAGTAACTTGTTCACAGTTGGGCTGAAGATAATGTTATGGGAAACCTGAATTGTCTACAGTTCCAGGAATAAAAAGCCAAAGGTCACTGAAAGTTACATATAGATATAATGCAGTTAATTCCAAAAGCAAATATCAGATCTGACACAAAGAAATGGCAGAAACCATGTGGAATTTCTCCCAGCAGCCTAAACTCTGGTACCATCAGATTCAGCAGGAAGCTTTCCAATACCTCCATCAAAACCAGAATTCATCCCAAGGATTCTCTGATCACTGCCTCCATCTCAGCAATGGATATTTTCCCAAATAGGAAGATTCCCTTAAACCAACTCAATCCTACATCCAAAAGAAATGCTCCCAGTCCTTTCTTGATTCCATCAGCCCAAGCATCACATTCAATCTCTCCTAATTCCCAGCCTCTGTGTTTTTCTATGTTTGCCAAGCCAAAGCCTTTCAGCAGATGGAAATATTTTAGAGATGGTAGGACTCTTCAGATAATTTTGTAATCCACCTGAGTGGGTTCCAGGTTAGGAATAACCTAAATTCTAGTAAGATTAACTGCAGCAAAACTTTGGCCTGCTGCATTTTACTGGTTATAAAACAATACCAAAAAAACACAGCAAGTCTACTCCAAATCTACTCTATTCCAAAATGTTCTGGTAGACTTTAGTTTCAAGAAGTAGCCAGTATTGCTTGCATAGTTTTAACTTCTATTTGGTTACAAATACATACATATATATATACACACAGGTACATATGTATTTTAGATTAAAATATCCTGTGAATGATAGTGATTAAAATAAAGATTCTGAGCTCCTCTTTAGGCCCTTTAACTGCTGATATCAAAACTCTGTGCATGGCTCTCACCTTGCGACAGAAGCAATGTTCACCACAATTATATTGCTATGGCAGTGGATTCCAGGCTTTCCAACTGCAGTCCTGCCCACAGGCTCAGCTCCCTGGGAAAACTCAGAGCCCAGACCTTGGCAAAAAGCCTCCTTGAGTGACAGCTTCTTGACTTATAGAATAGTATGGGGGTCGGAAGGGACCTTTAGAGGTCATCTAGTCCAACCATCCTGCCATGAGCAGGGACTTTTTCTATCCCCAAAATATTTCCAGCAGAGCCTGAACAACATTTGATGTCACTAATCTGCAGAAACATTTATATGCTGTCATGGCTAAATTGGCAGGCAAGTCATGGATCAAAGAGAATATATTGGTGAAGTTTAAATAATTTTAAATGCTGTTTTTTATTGGCTTTTAAGAGGCACAATCCTATCTACCTCCCAATCAACCTACCACCCAAATCAATGGCGCCTTTGCAGCTGTCTTCCTATTTATAGATTGGATTCTGCAGGAGACATGAAGTCTGCAGCAAATAAAAGCTACAACTCTGCTCTTGCAAAGGCCTTGTTAGGCTGAATCACGCAAAAGTGCCAGGACTTTACTCCAAAAAAGTAATTCTGCTTGGAATCACTTCCTGAAATGGGCATGTCACTGTTAAGTGACATTCCTATTGCAGATGTGTGGGATGGAAACACAGCCATGGAGCTGTCACAAAATGAGAGCAGGACAAGCAATGAGAACAGACAGAGCTGTCCTGTCCATGTATTTCAACCTTGAGCTCACAGAGGGCTGAAATCCTGGCCCTGTGCCCTCTGCACTGAGCCAGCCCCATGATGCCTTTCAGAAGGGCTGCAGCTTGTTCCCAAAGCTCTGAATAGCTGTCTGATGGGAACACGGTCAGTCACTGCCAACCTCTCTGGGTTTAAAACAGCGGCAGAGACACAACATGCTTTCTGTTCTTCCCAGCACCCAAACTGAAGTTAAATTATACAGATCACAGCTTGAGAATATTGTAGAGAAGATGATGGTGGATAATGCTGAGAGGACAAGCAGAGACTGCCCTTTGCACCAGCTGCTCTGGCTCTCACCGGGCTATCCCTGGATCTTACAAAGTTAGCTCTAAGCATGTTCTTAGCCTCCTCTAACAAATTCACATCCCAAAAAAACTCTCATTCATCCCTCTCTAGCTGCTGGAAATAAAAAGTACAATTTGTTTTCACATCCTCTCACTGTATTTTGGCCTTCTCCTTTTCCCAGCTTCACATCAGTCATCCTCCTGAGACAAAGAGGTTTATCTTTTCTCCGAAGTAGCAACACAGTATTAAAACAATTCTTGCTATTTTCACAGCTATTCACAGGGAACCTGGCAGCACCAGGGAACAGCCATGGCAACCATCATTTCACTTGGCTGACACTTGGCACCAGGGCTTGCTGCAGGCTTAAGGAAATAACCACAACTCTTCACATTTGGGAGGTAAGTTCTTTGACAGCAAAGAACTATGTCCACCTCCAAGAAAGCAAACTGTAAAACCAGAGTGTGTTCTCCCTGTTGCCTGAGGCAAGAAAACAAATGGGTTAGTAAGCCCTAACTCTAAAGCAGATAGAAATGTTATGTACAGAGGTATTAAAACATCAGAGTTCTCTTCACATCCTCCTTAAATCACAGTTGAAATCACAGCTTTGGGAGAACAAGATGCAGCTAGACATGGGAATGCAAAGCTTTGCCTCAACCCATCACAGAAACATTCACGCTTGGAAAGCTGGCATCTGATTCTCCATAGCTTTGGTGCAACTGCAAAGAGCCACACCAATGCAGAGGCAATGGGACACAGTATCATTCTGTTAGGGAAAGCACCTCTAAGTAGCTACACCACTGCCAGAAAATTCATGAGGTTTTCCATACCTTATACAACCTCCAACCCCTTTTTTCTTGAACCTTGGTCTCATCTGCACTCAGAAAGTCAACCACTGAAAGAAATGTTTAATAACAATTCCTTCAGAACTGGTTCCAATGTCTAGTGTGGATGGGCCTGAACTGTTTTCAGCACTGTTCAAGAAATATTAGTCATCATGATTCCCACACATACATACAGATCCATTAAATGCACAGAAATAATATCAAAATGATTCCCACTACCATACCTTATACTGACTCTAGCTACAAGCTATAAACTTCACCTCAGCGAGGCCTGGGCAAGAATATTGGCTCTTTTGCATGCAATCAGATATGATCATTTATACAGTGGCAACCTCTGCACAAAAAAAAACCCAAACAAAAACAAAAAGAAAAGCAAACACAAAGAAGGAGAAACTGAAAACCTTTCACAAGCTTTGTTTTCAGCTTAGTAAGGTATGAAGGACTAATTTCATGATTTTCACCAGGCCACTTGAAGTAGTGAATCAGCAAACAGGATTAACTGTCAGCATCCTGTATTGTTTGGATGCTCTTCTGTTCACAGTATTGATACAGTAAAACAAAAACCTGCTCCAGAAACTCACAGCTATGCCATGGGAACAAAGGCATTCACCATTTTATGTCAGCCTTTCTTCACTACGGTTGCCACCTGTCTCAGAAAAATGTTGCTTGTGTAGCAGTTACTGCACCTTCACCCTTCTCTTCACAGCAAGCTTAGCAGGGAAACTTTCCCACTATATTTTTATATAATATATGTATATAAATAATTTTTTGTTTTTTATAGTTTGGTAGTATTCTTTAAAAATTTCTATTTTAAAACACTTAAAAATCTTTTATGCAACTAAAAGTAACTTTTTATGCTCTCTAGTGTGAACAGGATAGGATTTCAAAGTTTTTAACTTTTTTCTTCCATTTTTGGTAACTTCAAAAGCTATGACTAAAGCAGCGTATCTCCACTCCTCCCTGCACCTTGATTGCAACAAATCCTACCTTGGCCACCCTCTCACCTCATCCTCTGTCACAACTCTCTGGCAATCTCACTCTTTTGTTACCATGATGTTTGACCTTTACCAGGAAACCTGATGGAGCTGGTTGTTTGAGTGGCCAAACCACTCCCTGTGTGATGGATGCCCTTGACAGGAGAGGAGGAAGAAGGTACAGAAGGAAAACAGAGGTGAAATATCAGTTCTGTTTGAAACGGTCAATGAAGTGGTATTTTGCAGGTTCCCAGCTCAGAACACCGGGAAAGGTTCCTCTTGTTACATCCCTGTTACATATGATACTGGCACCGAACCCTTCCCCAAACACAAAAACACATTAGAGCCACATCTCTTTTTGAGGGAGAGATGGGAAGAACAGTGAGACACCTCACATATAAAAAATCTATAAAGCAAGGCAAGAATACATCACCCTTCTCCAAATTATTCCCTCCAAAGGGGCAGGAAAATGATCCCAAGTACCAATTTGCAGATGGGTAAAGCAAGGGCTGGAGATGTTTCCATGTGCACAAAACTGCAGTCAGACAGCAGGTCAAGCTATATTGTCACTCGGTCAGTCTCCAGCCTGCTAAGCCCCCACTCTAACCACTCATCCAGCTTTCTTGCTGAAGCAAGATGAAGTGTTATTTCTTTTCCAATGTCTCCTTGTTCCTCCCATCACCTTAAGGTTCAGAACTTCACCCTTCCTTATCATATACACATTATACATCCTCAAGAGTACTCCTTCACCAACCTGATACATGCAACCTGTTGTTCCCCGCCTTCATCATGAACAACTTGGCATCAGAACTAGAGAAAACTTTAAATATTGCATATTTTTTTTAAAAAAAGATGTCAGAATATTTGCACTTATCTTCCTGTCCCATGCTTTTCTGGTTATGAACCATGTAAGCCGGTGCAAACACCCACAATACACACGCAGGCATATCTCTCCAGGTTTGCTAAATTTGCTCTAAACATCAGAGCTACTCAGAATACAAAAATGTTAAGCCCATGCAAGGGGACAGAGTTGTGATTGCTCTAGGAATCATCCACTATTAAGTCTCCTGAACTGTTATAAGGAAATAGAGTAAAGTTCTCTTTTCTTTTTGCATTTCATTGATAAAAAAGTTATCAAACTAGTTTGTAGAAACAGGTTTAAAAGCAACCACCTGCGATTGCTCGGCTGTGACAACAGCATTGCAGTATTCCCATATCCCATATTGCTGTTCTAAAAGATCAAGTGCGTGTCAAGGGGGAAGCAGGGGTGAAAGAGGACTTTGGTAGCCAGCCTCTAACTCCACAATTCAGCAACTCCAGAAAATCTCTTCCTAATCCTTAGCAACACCTGAAGCATGACAGTGCTCCAGCCAGGACCTTAGAGTGGTCTGAGCTCTCCAGTTCAGCTCCAGCAGAGGACAACCTCCTCTGGAAGACCTCTCCAGCCCTTCTCCCAATGCATCAGAGTCCCATGCAAACCTCACAGCTGCAAAATTCCACTCTCAGTAGCTGAAGTGCTTCCTTCACATTTTGCTGACCTCTGGAATACCACTTTGTAGCTGTGCCCACTTTAACAAGGGGCACCAGGGCCGCATGCCTAGAACAGGCAAGCCCAAAGCCCTAAAATAATAGTTTAAATAAAAATGTAAGCCACATGCCTAGAACAGGCAAGCTCAAAGCCCTAAAATGACAGTTTAAATAAAAACATAAAGAGACACACCAAAAATAAGACACGGATAAATACACTTGGGCAAGGCAGGTTCCACCAGGACAGTATTTTTGTTTTCTTTGCTTGGCAACTACCTGGGGAAGAGAAGAAGGCAACAGCCCCTTGCCCCTGCTCTCCCCTCGAGCGGGAGCAGTGGATATGGCTCTGTGGCTGAACCTGGCACTGCTGGCGGGATACCCTGCTGGGCCACAGCGCTGTCCAGAAATACAAATGACTGCTTGTCCCAGATCACTACAGAACAGTAAAAAATTTAAAATGCTGTCGATCCCTGAATAAGAAGTTGATTGACACAGTTGTTTTGTTTTTCTCCAAGAGGAGGAGGAATAAGGGAGAAAAACATTTAACACTCTATTGGTGTGTGTGTGGGGGTGTGTGAGAGGAAGAGAGAGAAAGAGATTTTTCTATTTTGGCAACATCTTGGTAGCTTCTTTCTGTTCAGTGGTGGCATTGCACTAATTACAGTACCAGCCTGCCAGGTTGGTGCTGACTCTTTAGAGCCAGGAATGGGAACAGTCCTTTCTCCTGGGACTCCACAGCCACATTTCAATCTGGCCCGGTTGTGGACACAGATCCCTGTGCTGTCTCCCCCACTGCCACAGCCTCTTCCTGTGGAGGAGATTCCTCCTCTGCCTGCCCCCGTGATGTGACGGTGGTCTCAGGGGAGATGCTATGGGGCCCCTCCAGGGGCAAGCAGCCAGGGTGGTTCTTGCGAAAGTGCTGGTTGAGGATGGCCTGGAAAGGGAAGCTTTTGCCGCACACGTGGCAGTGGAAGGGCTTGTTGCCCGTGTGCTTGCGGATGTGATATTCCAGCTGATCCTTGCGGGTGTACTTCTTCCCACACATGCGGCAAACAAAAGGTGTGATGCCCATGTGGAGCCGCATGTGCCGGTCCAGGCTCCCCTTCTGGTTGAAGGATTTGGCGCAGTAAATACATGTGAGCCGTGGGTTGTACCGGAACCAGCGCTCCGAAACCTCCTGCTCCCGCAGATATTCCACGTAACCACTCATTCCAAGCATGGCTGATTCCTCCCCCTGCCAAGGAAATGGCATAAATTTAAATAACAAGCAGCCTAAAACAAGTTGTGGAGAAGATCAGGCCTGGTCCTGCCAGTAAAGCATGTGCCAAAACTCAAAATCAGCAACACTAATGTCTGCAACCTCAAGCACACATTTAAGTGCTTAACTGGGGCCTTGGGGCAGCAGACAAACAAGCTAACAATTAGAAACCACTGCTACAGAGGCCCCTTCTGCCAAGCCATTCCCTGAATCTGGTGAAGAAAAGACAGCCCTTCACACAACGGCACCTGACCACCAATTCAGTTGTGGATCACATATCAATACTTGTTACTTTTTAAAAATTTGTGCCAGTTTTATTAAAACACTTGGGTGTATCACCTTCTGTTTTCCTTATTAAAAGGAAAGGGAGTACTACTTAAAAAAAAAAGAAGCCAAGCTTGCAGTAAAACAAAGGAGGAGCAAACCACAAATCACATCTGCAAGTCTTCAGACGTAATTTTACACAGGTATTTATTCACATATCACTTAGAGTTCATTTTATAATGAGTCTAGTTTGCCTGCCTGGCTGTGTAACTCATCCCAGCCCCATGGCATTGCAGGCAAGGATGTGCCTGACCCAATTTGCATAGCAAGGACTCTATTTTCTGAAGTCACACAGACAAACAGCCAAGGGCAACCTGAACCTCAAGCCTGGACTCAGGACAGATACTTCTGGCCATTGTATTCAGACTGAGCAGACACACACGGACTCCAGAATGCTTCTGTGCAGGAATATCTATTATCTACTCCCCTAGTGCTGTTTCCCAGAGATGCCAAATGTGGAGAAGCAACAAATGTAACAGCAGGAGGGCATCTCCTCCACAAGCCAGGGCTCTACTGGCATGAGCAGCAGTGTACTCATGCCAAGTGCTGCTGAATCCAGCTGTACAGACATAGGGAAGCTGCTGAGGATTAAAGGAGATACACAAAGCTCTGGTTCTTCCTTTCCACTCTACCATTGCCATTGGGCAGGGTTCACAGGCAGGCTATTTTAGTATGGGTATCACAATGCCAAGAGAGTGGAAGGAAGACACTTCCCCATAGTGTGTAAAGCCTAAGGTTTCATGTTTGAGGCTGCCTCACAATGGAGAAATAAGAGCAGCTGTTCTGTAGGCAGAGCTAAAATTACTTAGTATGTCACATTTCCCCTAGAGGGCTGGTTTGACCTGAAATTTTTGCAATGTCTTCTGGGGACACAAAACAAAGCTTTGCAAAACAAGAACAAAAAGGTATCTGTCATTTTATGGAAGTGTCTAACAAAGTCAGCAGACAGCAATCACAATTTCCCCCTCCTCACTTCACTTGGTCTCACACAAGGGCAAAGCAGCCTAGTATCTCCTTACCCACCTCCAGCCAAAGTCCTTTGCTTACACACTGACACATTCCCTACGTGCCAGGCTCACAAGAGTACTTCTGTATTGTGTTGGCTGACATGCTTGCACTACAGTGGCACTGTGACACTAACTGGATGCAACTAAATTAGATCAAAATGATAAGGCACAGGCATTAATACCATGTCCTACTTTGCTGCACTCTACTAGCCCACTGCCTTCCCATTTCTGTGCATCACTCCCTCCTGCCCCAAAACTGTGCCCAAGAAAGCAGAGAATTCAGAGCTTTTATGTTGCCAAGTCCACTGTGCAACACAGTCACTTGGAAAAGACAGAGACCTCTCTAAAACTCCACAGCTCTTTGACACTCCACCCCAAAAGGTTTATTGGTCTAGTGCCTGGAGGGCTTTTGGAAATGGTCTTGGTACTGGCATAGAAAGGTTCAGCTGTTGTCACCCATCTTCCACAGAAGCCAAGACACACCTCCTCCCTCTGCTCAGTCATTTGCTGGGAGCTGTTTGAGGTCAGATCCAGCTCTGAAGGCAAATGGGGCTTCTCCTCAGGAGTTGGTGGCCTGCTGAGAATAACAGTGGATATTTATGCCCTCAAACAACAAGAGAAACTCCTTTTGTTTTCCAGGTATCACGCCAAAATCCCAAACAGCCAGAATCAGTTTTAAATCGTAAATGACCAGCACATGTTCTCCTGTGAGCAAATATATCCTTTGCCAAAGTAAAAGGTCCTTGTATCATACACATTATTGCTTGGAAATACTAAATATGGCACACTTCATCACAACAAAGTCCCCTTCACCTTCAAGCCAACATATACTTCCAAATGTCTTGATCTGCCTACCTGGGAACTGGGTTGCTTAGGCTCATCCATCCGCCCGGGAGACTCGCTTTTTGATCTGTACCGCTCAGTCACAGCAACCATGCTGCCAGAAGGGCTAAATCTGTGGGGTGGGGCAAGAACATAAATAGAATTTCTAACTGGCATCAGGTCACTACAGTATTTAGAACAATGGGTGAGTAATAGAGGCACCTTTATAGCATCTCTTCATCCTCATTAGCTAAAACACTAGAGGTGGAACAGTGCAAATATAAATGAAAAACCAAATCATCCCGGTCTATTGTTTCAGTCTGAACATCTGAAAAATAAAACTGAGTCATTTGGCTTCTAGTTCAGCAACAGAGAGGAATGAGTAAACCAATATGTGCCTGGTGACTCAGGAACTGTACAGTAGGACAGAAACCATTTCTCAGAGGACACCTCTCTTCCATCACCCTCCTCCTCCATTTCCAGTGTGAAACCTTAGGGATGTGATGGACTAGAGGTGGGAAACAGTGCATACAGACTGCAGTGCAAAAAGAGAGGCTAGAGACTAGATGATCCATTGAAAAGAGCTAAGGAAGTAGGAAAGCATCACTAACCAAGGGCCAGCTCAACATTCTTCCCACTGATTGATTTATTAAGTGACAAATGACAGAATATCCGCTGCTTCCAGGTAGCTTTTTCCCCATGGGGTTGAACTAGAAGAGAGGCAGATGTGAAGGGAAACCCTAGAATTACAACCTCCCCAAACAAAGCAGACCTGCCCTTTATGAAATCCATTCTCTGGCCCAAGCTTAGGGCAAGAAATCAAATGCTGGACTGGAGGAGAAGCAGATAGATGGAGAATCCAAACACAGCAGACTTCACCTCTCATTTTCAACAAAGGCTTTCTGCTCTCTCATACAAGTCAAAACAACAGTGGAGGCAACTAGGTTCCCCATTTCAACTGCCTCAGAAGATGTAAACCCAGGGCCCACTGCTGTCATGGACCACTGGGAAGACCTTGACCTACTGTTTCTCAGCCAGAACCATCTCCAGATCTTCAGGACAGAAGGCACCAGTGCAATGGAGATATGTAACATATATTGCATATGGCCTCATTAATCCAAATGCTGAATCTGGTATCTACTGAGGCTGAACTGAACATCTTCCTTAAAAAAAAAAAATCCTACCTCAGCTGAAATATTGAGGTAGAGATCCCAGCCTCTAAGAGATAATAAGTAATTTCCCAAGTTAGCCTGTACCTGGAGATCCTGGTCTGATCACTACCCAGCCAATGCTTAAGATGGCCAAAGGAAATAGAAAGAGGAAATGTTCCAAAGCAACTGACCCAGCCAAGTCAGAATCTTGCATAATCTCCTCTTACAGCCAAGGTGAATAATTATGTTTAAGAAAACCCACCTGTCGATCTCGCTGCTGGTTGGCCTGACCACTTTGGCTCCAGAGGAGCCTAAGGCAAAAGCCTCCTGGCCCAGCGATCCATGGCCCGTGGTGTCGATCACCATGGCCGTGACCTCCTCAGCGCTGCTCCCATCTTCTCCCGAGGGCTGGTGCTCTGTCCCCAGCCACTCCTCCAGGTTTTCCGTCTTAATGCGCACTCCTCCCAGCACCCGCACCTCCTCGTCGTTCTGTGTCCCGCGCTCTCCCATTCCTGTCTCAACATACCACTGTCCTGCTCTGTTAATCCGCAGGATGGGCTCCCTGCCTTCCACATCTGAACTCTGCTCAATTATTTGGGGGCTGGTGGACTCCTCAGGTGGGCTTAGCTCCCGAATGTCCAGCACTGTGCTAACCTGGCCCAGGCGACTCCCCTTGGGGGTGTTGTGATGTGGACTCAGGGAACGGTTTAGATTTGGTGTTGCCCGGTGAGACTCGGGTGGTCTCTCTTGATGCTTTGTTCTGGTCTGGCTCAATTCCACTTCCACCTCCGCCACATTAATTTTGAAATGAATCCCTTCAAGGATCTGCGTGCATTTGTCTATGATGTGCTGCATCTGCAAGAAACTGGCAGCTGTCAGGTAACTGATAATGTCAGCCAGCTGCAGACATATCCTGCCAGTGTAGCAGAAGGAGAGGAGCTGCTCAAAAACAGAAGGGTTCTTGATGACAGAGATAGACACAGTGCTCATCTCGTTCAGGGACATGTGGTCACGGAAGTAGGGTGAGCTGGCAGCCAGCACCACCTTGTGCGCACGGAAAGCCTGGCCCTGCACATTGACCACAATGTCACACAGCCGACCCTGCATGCGCAGCTGGTTCAGGTGGCTCAGAACAGAGTTACTGAAGTTAGGAATCTCCAGCTGAATGTTTCCACTCTTCTCCATGGTTTCCCAGCTGCAGGTGCACGACTCTGCTGGAAAAGGAGGAAAAGATCCCATGATTAGCACAGCCAATCATTTGAAATTAGAACACTCTTCACCTGCTTCCACACAGTTTGAAATGCTGGACTTTTTAGAGACCTTCCTCACCTGTTGAACTGTCACACACTTGGCAGCAGCTCTGTCACGAACAAGTGTGTTTGAGATTGCTTAAAAAAACATTACAAAAGCTCTCTGATCTCTCCATGGTATGCATCCCCTTGCACAAGAGCTTTGCTAAACCAGACCCTGACAGACCCACCCCCCATTCCCTGCAGCTTTAGCATGTGAAACACTTTGTTCTGCCAACCTCAATAAAAACACATCTGCATGTAAAAAGAACATTAAAAACGACACAGGTATTAAAAATAGCCACCTGATTGCATAATGGATTAAAATACACACCATTTGTATGTTCTAAGCATTTTGAAAAGAAAAAGTAATAAGCAAAGCTCATTTGTAAACAGGAACCGGAAAGGACACACCAGAACCTAAATCCTCCTGAGATTTTGGAAAAGTTGGCCAGCACACATCTGACCTCAAGGAATCCTAAGTGCCTTGTTAACCTGAGATATCCATCATATGTGGCACTTCTGACACATACCAGAAAATATATAACACAATATAATATATAACAGGAGGGTGAAAAAATAAGCTGTGGCCCAGAAGGGCTCAGAGGGATCTCAAGATCACTTCTGTAGGGTCCCAAGAGACTTCACTTTGGTCATCCTAAGTTCCTATCCTGGCCATACCCTAAGTGAGTAACTCCTGGACTTTTTCCTAAGTAGAGTAATAATGAGACTGTTCCACTCAGGCTACAATTCACAATGGTGCTGCTTTGCTTGGGCTGCAATCCAGATAAATGGTTTACCCAAGCTACACGTGGCTTATCCCTTGTTTTCCAGATTGGCTGGGATGTTCCTAGATATTCCCACCCCTACCACACAAGAGCTCCTGGTAGGCTCAGGGAGCACCTCACAGCCCAGCTGATGCAGACGAGGGACCCTTCACCACTCAGCCAAGTCCACTAAGGCTTATCAGGAGATCTCAGAGCAGGGCCAGGGAGGGGGGGCTTGGGGATGCACCACCACATCATCACATTTCATTTTGGCAAAGTTTGAAAAGAAGCCCTGACCATATACATTAAAGATTTGGAATGAATAAAAGTGAGACATAAACTCATTAAAAAAAAAAAAAAAAAAAGTAAATAAGCTTGTTAAAGTCCACTCATGGCATAAGCAGCTTCCAAGCTGGATAGCATCTGAAGTGTGGATTGAGCAGAGTCTGGCAGATGTCAAAATCATTTAAAGCAGGCTGGGAATACCAAGGATCACAGTGCCCACTCTCCACTCTGAGGAATCTCCAAATCTAAGGGATTGGCACATGAAGAGCATGTCTGCCTTAGGAGGACTTTTTATCTGGAATTTCTGAACACTGCAGCATGTCCATATGCCCAAGCAGGCTTTGTGCAAACTTGGCAAACCCAATTATTAAATATGAAGCTGCAGGACAGCCTCTCAATCTTGTGGAGTTGTGTCAAGGGATTTCTGAGTGGCAGGATGGCTGCGTGTCCCTGGGGAAGTCAGATCAGAGTGCACAAAGCTTCACAAGGTGCAGCTGAACAGTGCCAGGTCTTAGGGCTTTTTCTATCCTTCCCCTATCACAGAATCATTTAGGTTGGAAGGGACCTTAAAGCCCATCCCATTCCAACCCCCTGCCATGGGCAGGGACACTTTCCACTAGCCCAGCTTGCTCCAAGACCTGTCCAATCTGGCCTTGGACACTGCCAGTGATCCAGGGGCAGCCACAGCTTCTCTGGGCAACCTGTGCCAGGACTTCATTACCCTCACAGGAAACAATTTCTTCCCAATATCCAATCAAAACCTACTCTCTGTCAGTGGGAAGTCATACCCCCTTGTCCTGTCACTCCATCCCTTGTAAATAGTTTTTCTCCATCTTTCCTGTCAGCTCCTTCAACTGGAAGGCCATAGCTAGGTCATCCTGAAGCTTCTCCTCTTCAGGCTGAACAACCCCAATTCTCTCAGCCTTTCCTCACATCAGAGCTTCTCCACCTCTCTGATCATCTTGGTGCCTCCTTTGGACTCACTCCAACAGCTCCATGTCCTTCCCTTTTAGGAGAAAGCAACAAACCCCACAAAAATCAGGAAACCACAGTGCACAGGTCTGTCAACACAGCATTGGGAGCAGAACATCAACTGCACAGAACAAAGGGAAATAGAAAACCCAACATGTTACCTGGAATGCTGTGAGTTACATGCAGTGGGAAAGAAATGGGGGTACTGCCTTCTCTTTTTCTTCTGATGTAGTAAGAAGAAAACTTGTTGCCCCCTTCCCCTTTAGGAGGCAAAAAGAAAGAAAAAATTAAGTGCAGAGGAATTGGGTTCTCCCAAGCACAGTTGTGAACATCAAGCTCTGTCATTCTTGGTTTTGGTGGAGGATCTAGCAGCAGGATTAGCTCACCATTTCCCCAAAATAGTTGTTCCTAAAGCAGTAAGCCTCAGGGTACACTCTCAAGAAAGGCAAGGGTGAAACACCCTTGCCAAGACCATGAGCACCCAGGGAGGCAAGAGAGAGGCAGAGGCTGAGCTTGGGATATACAGAAAGAGAAGGGCAAAAAAATATCATCAGACCTTAACTGATGAGCATGGCTGGGCATGGCTGTGGAGCAAAGGCAGCTGCTCCCCAGAGAGCCCAACAAATTATCTGTGAGCTCCTGCTCAGAAGGCAGGGAAAATCCATCTACTCTTTATAACCCACAGAGCTCTGCTCACTTCAGTGTCAAGGAAACCCCGTGTTATGATCCACTCAGAGACTGGTGAGAGGGAATCTGACTCTTGGTTCCAACTACCCTGTCAGAGGCTGATTAAGGAACCTGAGTAAGGGAACCTCTAGTCAGCTTCTGCACCTCAGCCACAGGGCAATGACATCCTGATTTCTCTCTTCTCCGGGAAGTCTGTCACCTCCACCCACCTTTATTTGCAGGCTGAGCTGAGTCAGCACAGGGCACACACTGAGACACTGCCATTTAAAAATCTGAAATGTCACCAGCTGAGACTCAGACTTTAGTTATGTCAGCAAATGCCACCCAGCCTGTGAGGCAGCTACCAGGAGCGGGTGGAATTCTTGAGCCATCAGGTAAGAAGCAGAGACAGACTGCCCAGCAGATGATGTCACCCTGGAAGCTGCACTGAATACTCTCAGCTTTTGCATTGAGATTTACTGTAATTGGGCAGCTTCACAGAATCACAGAATATCCTAAACTGGAAGAGACTCACACTGAGTCCAACTCCTGGCCCTCCACAGACACCTCAACAATCCCACTCTGTGCCGAAGAGCATTGTCCAAACACCACTGGAGCTCTGACAGCCGGCTGTGACCATTCCCCAGAGAGCCTGCTCAGTGCTCGACAACCCTCTGGGGGAAGAACTTTTTTCTTATATCCAGACTAAACCTCCCCTGACACAACTCCAGCCGTTCCACAGGTCCTGTCCCCGATTCCAGAGAGAGCTACTTAAAATCCCAGAATGGTTTAGGTTGGAAGGGACCTTAAAGCTTATCCCGTTTCACCCCCTGCCGTGGGCAGGGACACCTTCCACTACAGCCCAGCTTGCTCCAAGACCTGTCCAATCTGGCGTCGGACATTGCCAGATATCCAGGGGAAGCCACAGCTTCTCTGGGCAACCTGTGCCAGGACCTCACTACCCTCACAGGTAACAATTTCTTTCCAATAAATCTCTTTGGCTACTTGCACATTCTAAGGGGATTCCAACAACTATAAAAACAAACGTAACTCTAAACTGAGACGGGCGGCGGTGGCTTCTCGCCCGCCCCCACCCCGCGCACGGGACCCGGTTCACAAAGCCCGGTGTCTCCCCGCCCCATCGTTCCGGGACCCTTCTGAAGCGGGGCCCACGGCTCGTTCTGACCCATGACAGCCACGCCGCACCGGACCGGGAGTGCGCGGGGCGGGCGGGGCCAACCTCCCCCAGCCCCCGCCCCTTCCACCCTTGG